CTCTCGCAATAGATGAAACTTATATAGGGTGGTTTCTAAACACCAGATGTTTTTCTTCTTTTTACTTTCCGGCTAATTTGCAGTCGAGCTCTTATTTTAATAGAATTATCTTTTTTCTCTCTCTCTCTCTCTCTCAAGAAATGGCATTGTACTAATAATATTACATTTTCTTATTCTCAGCCGTGGAATTGAGTTCCAGGGTGACTGAAAAGACGTGCAATTCCGCTTTGACGTGCACACACGCACACACACACATATATATGTATAATGTCGCTCGCGAGAAACACTTCACTTTTACTCGCTAATTGCCGAGGAACTATTGCTGCCATTTTTTAGCCGAGAAAGAATTGACTTCCGATCGAGAAATTTATGGTTAAAAAAAAAAAAAAAAGGATAGTCACGTTGCTCCTGGGACACCGCGTATTCGCTGTGGCGAGTGAAATACTGTATATCGAACGCGACGAAACGCGGAGAAATACAAAACGTGACACACAGGCAACGAGCAACATGGGAGAGATCGATCGCGAGCGAAGAAAATTGGATGGCGCGTCGTGCGGCAAAACAAATGAACGTCGTGACTGGGCGCGTGATTAGCTATCAAAGTCCTGCGACACTATCGAGATATTAACCAATCTGAGAGAGTGAGAGAGAGAAACGAAGAAGAGTTCAAGGATGAAGAAAGAGAGAGAGAGAGAGAGACGCAACATTTTGCCGCACGTACACACGTGTGCACACCCTCTAATAACGTCTGGGTATCGATTGACAAACTCTATTTTTGCGCGTGGGAGAAGACGAGATCGCTCAAATCTCATCAACTGTAAAAATCCACGTCGTTTTATGTAATCGCGAACCGCAAGATTGAAGAATGCACAATGCGACGAGTCCGTTGCATTGAATGCCGGATTCGTTCGTTGAAAGACAAATAACGGTGACGTAAATTGTCACAAAGCGAATGTGAAGAGCGAGTGAACTTTTTCTTTTCCCCCCATTCGTCATTCTTCGCCACGTTTTCGCGTGGAGAATCTCCGGAGCTATTCAAAAAATTTCTTTGTCTTTACTAGTTCCTGACGAAAGCATTTTTAATTAGACTTCTAAGTACCCGCGGGCTAGCGGGTATACTAGCTGGTATACATGGCCGGCGAACCGCTACCGAAAGGTTTTTGTGCCTCCGTCGGTGTGTATGTGTGTGCGACACAAAAATTACTAAAACTTCACGATTCCCCCCCGGTTATTATACGCGTTGAAATTTTGCACCACGTCAACTTTTCCATTATATCACCCGTCCGGGAGGAGGTAAACAGTAAATATTGTACGATCGGATCAATAAAACGAGTTCGACGCTGCATCGAAACGTGTAAACAGAAATCTGTTGTTTCGATTGATTGTGAAATTAATTTTCACAAAAAGGAGATGTGCAAAGGAAGCTCTTTAACAGTTTTTAATGAGGTAACTGTTTTACCAGACAAGTATAACCAATAAAAAAATAAAACTTTAAAGGAAGGTGTGTGATATACAGGGTGTGTGTGTATTTCACTTGGTGTCAAGAGGGCGTACTCCCATCGATCAAATATCTAAAAAAAAGAGCGTATAAACATGGGTCATGGTTGGGTTTTAGAGTTATTAAAAAATTTTCCTTCGAAGGGACAGGTGGAGACTTGTTTTGAACAATTGTTGTGACCAAATATTTCGTATTGTGCGTTTTTCGTAAAACTTCATTTTTCTTGGATTTTTTCAAAACTTTATCTCGTTTAATCGCATTGCAATTGTTCTTTCGTCGAAGCTGCTTGTTACAATTGTTCGACGCATTGTCGAACAATGAAATCCCTCTTCTACCTGTCTCAGAAACCAAACGTTTCCGAACCAATGTCCACACAAACACGAATCATTTTCAACGTTCGATCGATGGGAACGCGTCCTCAGAACACTCGGCGTCAATTGAAATACATCCTGTGCGCTGTAATTGATTTTCGATGTATATACAGAAAAATAATCTAATCTGATTATTAGTCTGTCGCGTGGGAGCCTCACTCGTGGATCCGTATCGATCGTGTTCGTCAAGTATCAAGTTGACGTGACAGCGCGCAGCGTGTGCTACGGGAGTATCACACGTCACTGTAATGCGACAAGACAGTGATTAATCGGGACGCGGGATGATGAAGACGAAGATATAACTTTGATGAGAATCTGTGTTGTCCCACATATTGACGAAAGAATTTCGCTTTTGTCTGTTGTTGAAAAAACAATTTTAAAATTCTTTGCCTGAGAATATTTCGCGCGCACAGTCGATATATTATTTTCTGCTTACAATAATTTTAGAAAATAAAATAAATAATAATCTCGTTATCGCGTTAATATTGTTTTCTTCGTCAAGTTGATATTGTTAATGAATGATTTATTTCGGTTTCCAGCAAGACTTACTGTGATAATTTGCTGTATTTGACTTTTTGCGTTTCGCGTCAAACAGTCAGCGCAATCAGCGCAATGTGACAAAATCGCGCGAACGATCGCAAGTAATTAGAGCATCTGCTGGTTAATTTAGTGCAGAGAACCTACGGTGTTTCGGTAAACCGATCGCGGTCAATTAAACTCTGATGGAAGCGATTCTGTGACACTCGAAACGATCGGCGTCTCTCGATATATCGAGACCACACACTGGCTTACGTTTATATGTACATATATTAGCGTACGTATTGGGTGTACGCTGCGACTGTGACACAATAGGAATGAGTCAATTCACGTATGAAGAAAAATAAAAAAATTACACGCGTATAAAATACAACAATATTTACATCATTAAAAGTGTTCTGTCTCTTCAAAATGTACATAAATCGCATGTTTTACCTTCAATTATTTTGTTTGCGAGCAACAGTTACGTTTTCGTTGCGCATCACAGATAATGGGCCACCGTGTATAACGCAACAATAACCACGTGCGATAGCGCGCGTGTACAGCAGCTGTGCTCTGGTGGACATTCGCGAGATTGACGGATCTGTTCGATGATCGATCGGTCCGTGATTGACACAGAACCGCGCGCTAATGCCATTTATTTTCAGCAACATCCGCAGCTCAGCCTCAGTAATATTATTCATCACTCGATAACGCTTCTATGTTCGACTTTTATCAGACGTAAAAATTGAAGTAACACCAAATGGATTTAGATTTTTTTTTTTTTTATTGCGCTTGGCATTAATCTGAATTTTTGCGGATACAATGCGGTCTTTAGGAGTCAAGCGGATTGACGAATATATGTGCGACGTATCTTTAAAAGTGCAAAAATTAATCACACCGAATTTTTATGTCGGATCAAAGTTCTTTTTCCTTTGTCGCAATTCTTCAAATTAATTGCGAAATTAATTTTTTCCACGGCGTCTGAATAGATTTTTGAGATGCAAACTAAGCACGTAGTGTTTTCGATTAATTATCGAAATTGATATATGTGTGTGTTACTTTACAATTGAAAAATATTTCGCACGTGCATTCAACGCTTGATTTTTAAAAAGACTTATGTTATTTCTCTCAGCCGGAAACCATCAGAGTCTTGTTGCGATTATTTGTTTCGCGGACATGCATGACGTCACATATGAGATTCTGGGTAAAACGCGGTTCTTTTCCGCGAAGATTGAACCATCGAAAGAGGGTAAAAACTGCGGGCATAAGTGATGTAAATCTTATCTCGTGTTCGCGGTGCGTTCGCTGTTTTCATATTCATAGATGCGTTCACAAAGTCGCGAGTGTGAGTTCGATATTTAAATAAATATGAAGGATGTGGTGTGTGTGAGAGACAGAGAGAGAAAGAGAGAGAGGGAGAATAAGAACTAAGAGTAGAATAAAGAACGAAGACGGCGGTACAAGAGAGTCGTCCTTTACTCTCGGCGGCGCCTTCGTCCTATTTTACGCCATTGTAATGCCGCAACCACCTCCCCCTTTCGCTCTTCGATTTCCTTGAAAGCTTTCAAGAAGGAGGAGGAGGAGGAAGAAGAACAGCAGCAGCACTTCGCTCGCCCTCACCGTTGCCTTCGCCGTTGCCTCGCAAAGAGACGGCTGATTAATGCCCTCGCACTCGTTAAGTCGACGGATAAACTCTCGCCCCTGAGAGGTCAATATTTCGATGAGAAGCGATCGCCGCTTGCCGCACATTCTTCCGAGTAGGGTAATTTACCCGAGCGATTAGTTGCTTTCTACTTACTCCCGAAGCGGCAATTTGCAATTGACTTCCGAAAGGAGAGAGAGAGAGAGAGAGAGAGAGAAGAAAACTCGGTCTTTCCCTTATTAATGGTACTGTATTATTACTTGAAGGCGAAAAAAGTTACCGCGGAGAAGAGAAACGTCTATTTGCACCATAAACACTCATTCCCTCGAGGAAAACAATTTGTTCGAGAGAAGTACAATTTCACGGATCTGTGATTACTCATTTTATTTTCTCGCAACAGTTTTACCATCTTGAAAAAGAGGCGGAGTTATTCGCTAGTCACGATTTCCGTAATGCACATTGAAAGAAAACAACGACAACGTTAACTGCTGGGAAACGTGAGTAAATCAAGAAACAAAAAAACGAGCTCCGTTGATTGCACAGTGTCTTGACGAGTATCATTATACATAAATAGTAATTAACTTTTAAAGCTAAATCAAGAGTCACGGTAGTGCCTCGCGCCAAGTTCACGCGCAACGAAGTCACGTTTTTAACGACACGTGATTAAATTAAAGTCACGTGACTTTAGTCACATGTTGTTTTTCCACTCCTCCCTGTCACGTGAGTATTTTTTAGTCACGTTTTTAATTCAATTAACGCGTCTGTGGAAAACACGAAGGTTTGAAATGTAGAGATTGAATTACTTGCACTTGGTGGACAGACGAATCGTCTAAGGTTTAAGAAGTTGTGTTGAAGTTGTGCGCTTTCCTTTGTATTGTGCAGAGCGCGAGCTCAAAAAATTCGAGAACTTGGAGAATTTCCAATCTCTCGGCCACGTGAGATGATCTCGTGTTTTCGATTTTGATTGCAGCACCGGCGAGGGCGACGAATCAGGTTCTTTTGGGCGAAGCTGATATCACTCTTCGGGATGACGCCGACAGCGATTTCACGACGGAGGAGCCGTATCTCAAAAAGTGCATCGTAGACGGAAACGCCTATTCTCACAGCCAAACGGTAGCGACCGATGAAAAGTGTAAAAAAACAAAAGAAAACATCAACGTGTTGCGAATAGAGAATATACCGTTGTTTTTCCGCTCGCAACGCGAAGAGAAAACAACGTGAGAAATAAATCGCGTAAAAAAAAAAAAAGAAAAAACGTTTCAGATTCTAATCGCGAAGTAAATTAATCGCAATTTTACTTCGACTAACGTCTAAAAATAGTTCAATAAAAAAAAGAAATAAATTATTTTGATACATAATATGTAGAGAGAGAGAGAAAGAGAGAAAACGAGAACCTAACGTTTTGTTTGTTCAAATTTTTAAGATAGAGATTAATCGACGAGTAAACCGCTATTTTTAGTTTCGCGTTGGCGTAGAACGATAACTGCGTGTCGCTATTTCCATTGTTCTTCGTTAATAGATCGCGTCTGTTAAATTGGTGCCTTGTAACGGTTTGCCGGAAACCATTTCGGTTTGTATCTGTGCCTGAAAACCGCTGACTACTGATGTATTTTTATATCTTCTCTTTTTTCCTTTGACAAACAAATCCGCAGATCTCCGATCAGTATTTAAACGCATATTTTTTTTTCACCAATTTCTAAATATCAAATCTAACTGTTTTACGATAGTCATCAGTATAATTCCGCACAAATTTGTCTCACTTTATCTTCTGAATAAACTAAACAAAATTCATCATAAACCAAACGTCGCTCAACGTCCAAATTTTGATTTTATTCGGTTCGAACGTCCGTGAACGTTACACGAATATTAAAAAAAAATTTACATTATTGGACGTACATACACAGTTTGTCCGGAAAGTTCCCGGACTACGTGAATTAAAAATCGAAAATGAAAGATATGGTTTATTAAACAAGTTTACACTTCA